CTTTTTTCCTCAAGAAAGTAAAAGTTACATACCATAAAATGCACGGATCTTAAGTATTCGGCTTGGTAAATTTGAACAAATGTATACACCACCAATTGATGAATCTGGAAGTTCCGTGTACTGGTCTTGAAACTGTTCTGTAAGTTAAAAATATATGAAAATTAAAAATTACCCTGAAAGCATATACTTGAATTTCATCACTCGAATCCCAAACCAAGCTATAGAATATTTCTATCACCCTAAAAAGTTCCCTTTTGGGACGTCCGTGGTGGTCCAATGGCTAAGACTCCACTCTCCCAATGCAGGGGGGCCGGGGTTTGATCCCTGGTGAGGAACTAGATCCTACATGCCACCAACAAAGACCCAGCAAAGTCAAATTAATTAATTTTTTGAAAACTGAAGAGTTTTCTTTATAGAAAATGTTCCCCTTTGTCTCTTTCCAGTTATCCACAGCCTTTACCCAGAAACTGCTTTCATTTCTAACACCATACCTAAGTTTTGTCTGTTCTTGTATTTTTTATAAATGGCATCTAACAATACATACTTGTTTCGTTTCTCTTGCTCTGAATAATATTTGAGATTCTTCTATGTCATTGTATGAATCATTATTATTATTACTGTGAAGAAAGATTCTATGAACATTTTTATCAGCTTCTGTGTGGACATGTTACTTTGTTCCTCTTGATGAAGCAAGATTTCATTTGAAAAAAAAAGAATTCACATATAAATAAGCCTGTGAAGTCATATAGATGATTTATATGTATACATATAGTAAACATATCCAGTTACATATATAATGCAAATACATATAGTATAGATATTTATCTACCTACCTGTGTGTATGTATTTATGTGTGTGTGTGTACACAAATGGACTCTGAGGTCTACCTAGGAATAACCCCAAAGATATATTAAATAAACTTATAAAGTTCACAATGAAAATACATTTAGATGACATTTCAATTCTTCTTAATAAATATATTTTAACCTAAGTATAATTCAAAACAGAAACAAATTTCTCTCCATGTAAGTTACTCTATTTCACATCAATGAAATACCATCTTCTCACAACAAATCCCCTTTCCAAACTAGAATTTCATAACATTAAATATGACCATCCATAATGAAGTAATTTTTTATGCTAGGGGATAAAATCCAAAATATGTTAAGATTACAAGATTTTATTTTATTGTCTTGCTTTTTTAAAAAGTTAAACATGGAAATAATTCCATTGGTTAATATTTACATGAATAAAGACCATTTCATCCTTATTCAGAAAAAGACCTCCATTCCAAAAAGCAACTTACTGCAGCACTGTCTGTGACAGAGACATTCTGACCTTCAAATTCCTTGTGTAATTTTCAGCAGCTAGAAGGATCTTTAATTTCCAGAGACAGGAACATTGAGAAACATACACACAAATCTGATTTTTGATGAGACCAATCTGAAATCGCCAACCCTGTCTTTGATAATCCGATGCTCATTCAGGGGACCAGGAGTGGCTCTTCATTCAACATCACACACAAACTGCCAAGACTGCAAACCGAACACTACAAATGGTTCCAAAAATTCACCATTGCCTGCTTCAGCAAAGGTCTGCAAACTACAAAAGGGAAAAAACCCCTTCTAGTCTTTGATCTTTCTCCATCTTTTATTCCTCCTTCCAAAAAATGAGCAATTTCAAGACCATACAACTCAAATGGACTGTATTTTTAATCTTAAAAAACATTCTTAGCATTCGGATGTTCCCTAACTTTCACAGATGTGGAACTGTTTACTTTAAAACCCATTATTTCACTCTGAAAATACATAATTTTTATTTTTCTAGTAACTGTACTTTTTTCTAAAAAGAAAAAAAAAAACACCTTAATTAAGTGTTACAAAAATGACAGCAGTTTCAAAGAGCTACAATTCCCAACTTTCAATATCTTTTTGCCTGACTGTTTTAGAGAACTAAAATTTTATTCCTGTTTTTTAAAATGTTTCTCTTCCAGACCAAGAGTAGAAAATAGGTTAAATCAAATGTGTAGACCCCATACTCCCTCTGGTGGTCCTTCACTCTTATTAACTAGCTGTTTTCCAAAAGACTAGAACACTAAAATAAGGGTAAAACCAATTTGCCCCATTTAAGGATTATAGCCTTACATGTTTGAGTTTCAGCTGAATGCAGGTCAAGTCTCATCATGACAAAAATGAGGTAAATAATTTTGAGTGCTTGAATTTTAGTGTTTCAAATACTATTGAAATATCCTTAGGAACTTGTTAGTTACGTCCACAAGGTCCTGCTATAAATTACTTTAACCTGTCTCATTTGGCAGAACTATCTTTTACACAGTAAATAAGCATCTTTTTGCAAAAAAAAAAAAACCTCCACACTTAAGTGGCTACTGTTTTTAAATCAATAGTTATATGATTTACCTACCAACTTCCACCTGGTCTGGAGTGAGTGTAAATTTAATTTTTCTTAAACTTTCAATTTTCCTGACATAACATCAGAAGTTAAAAATGCACTGTAAAAAAAATTCAGAATGTAAAATAATGAAAAAATCTAATTACTAATCGGCTACGTTAGAAAGTTCAAATAGTTTCAGAATTATAAAAAGTATAAAATATTTAACTGTTCAGCATAAAATAAGTACAGAATTCAGTGTGTAAAAATATGTACAATATAGATTCTTTGTTAGGAATTCTGAAAAATTATATTAAAGGCCTACAGAAAATATTCTTAGTAAGATACAGCATGCATTTTACTGTTAAATAAAGAAGTATTACTATCTAACAGTATCATGTGATGTAGCCTCAAACGTAGCTTGTTTCACATGTGTCCCTGTTTTTCTATAGCTTGGTTTAATCAAAAATATTTGCCCACCTCCAAATTCAAAAGGAGCCATACCTGAGGGTAAGTGACTTAAAAATATTCCCAACATTTATTATGTAGATATAAGAATTCAACTTAATTTTGAAACTATAATGTGGTTGGCCATTTTATGATACGGTCTACCGCAAGTTAAAAGTGTACAAAAATCAGTAATTAAAACATGAAAAAAACTGAATTTGAAAACAGTTATTTTTATTAAAAGGCACTTTTACAGTTAAAGTTCCCAAAACATGCTTTTGTAAATGAAACTATGAAATATGGCTTTAATTTATGGTATGTGGTACATTTAAGCATCATTACAAGATAAAAACTATAAAACTTTTAACTATACACAGTAGTTAGACTAATATACTCCTATACACTTTAAACAACAATTATATAGATCACCCGTAACCCTAGCCTCATAAGATTCCTCAGAACTACTTATACAAAATAAAACCCACTCTGCACAAGTCACTGCTCAATCTACCTTCGCTAAGCACTGAAAAGCCAACTCAGCTTTCAGCAGTAACAACTTCTTCTACAGCTATAGAAAGAGGATGTTCTTCCTTCTCTAGACTGATTGTTCTAAGCTAAGAAGACTTTAGGAAACAAAACAACTGAAATATGTTCTTTTTCCAATGCAAGAATAAACAGAAAATTGAAGACTTCACTAGTAGCCTAATCCAATATTTCAAAATGTTCATGTTTGAAAGACAAAGAACTCACAGCAGATAAGCCTGTTGTTTTACAGAAATAAAAAAAAAAAATTTATAAAAACCTTCTCTGATTTTAAAAAAAAATCCTGAACAGTCACAACTAGCCTATTGGTTAGAGTGCACCTTTCAAAGGTGTTACTAATTAACGATGTGACTAAAATCACCATTCAATGCAACACTAATAAAGTAACATAATTAAATCAAAACTGTAACTGTCCTTAAGTTACTTACATCTCTTATTCAAATCATATCCAGCACATTTAAAAAAAGACACATAAGAAGAAAAATCTGAGTTATCAAAATCAACTGTTCCTCACAAATGAATGTTATCAGTAACCTTCGTAATATATTTTAAAATAAAATTTAAAATAATTATATATTATTTTTAAACCTTTTTTTTTTAAATAGATGCCCTAAATTGGTCAGGGCCATAACTGTAGATTTTAAGTGAGGTCAGCTGGTAGAGAGAGAAACAGAAAATAAGTGAAAGTACAACATAAAAACTTCCCACAAAAATAAGAAGCTTTTCAATTCTACCCTCGAATTTTAAAATAAAAACTCTTATGCGGGGCCGGGGGGAGGGCCGGGGTGGGGGGAATGGGTGAAGGAGAATTCCCATAGACTATTAAAAATACTGAACCAAAATATGCCTTAACTTTTCTCTTGTCTACAATCTAACAAAACGAGAAGACAATGAAAATAAACACTCCTGTGTGCCCTCAGAGAGGCAAAGAAAGCTCCCATTCAAAGCTAAGCCTTATTCCACTCTTGTAAAGTAAATCCAAAACCACGAGCTCAAACTGCTTCATGCAGAATTTACTGAATGGCGGCCAAACGCTGTACACTCTGTCCTGAACCACAGTGAAGGATATCTCGAGCTCTGCATTCTCCATTTACAACTTGTACCTTACTATGCATGCTTTCACCACCACTGCAGAAACCGATTTTTAAACTAAGATGTTCCTCCCGGCCAAGTCAATGGAAAGAAGGCAATCTACACGCTGGCGACACTTCCCACCTTCCCCACCCACCCCAATCAATACTGGTTTTTCACTCCTATACTGCAGTCAGCACACCTTAAAAAAAAAAAAAAATCACATGGGAGAAGGCGTTACAAAGCCCCCGGAGTGAACTGAATTACCGAACCCTGAAACAACTTTTCAGTGGCGCTCACCTGACACTTGGGATAATCACCTGTTGGAATGGCGCTGCCCCGGTCCCCTCTACCGGTAGTCGCGGGGAGGCCGTATTCCCAGTCACTGGTCCCCCTCCCGGGGCGGCAGGTGAAAGGCGGCGAACGCGCATATCCACACCCACCGCCCCGGGAGCGCAGACCGAAAGCCGGGGACCGCGGCTGCGGCGGGACGCTCCGTTATCCCTCCCTCGGCGGGCCCGCCAGGTGAGCGAGGCTCCATTGCGCCCGCGATGCGTCCCGGCGCACGGCTCTCCGCGGGCCCACTTCTCCCGCCGCCCGGGCCCGGGAGAGCGAAGTTTCTCTCCCGCTCGCGGCGGCGGCTCACGGGCCGCCTGGCTGCGGACGAGTCGGAGGCCGCCGAAACGAGAGCCGGAGCCGGGACCTGTTACCCAGGGCGGGAAACCAAAAAAAAAGAAAAGCCGAGTGAGGACCAGCGGGGCGCGACCGGCCTCGCCTCCAGGAGGGAGAGCGCGGAAGGGGCAGGGAGCCGCTCCCGCGGCCGCCCGGCTCCGCGCCTCCCAGAGGGGAAGGGAGCCCCGGCCCCGCTCGCCCGGCGGGACGCAGAGGATTCCCGCGGGGGAGCCTGGGCGCCTCCAGCGCGCCCGCTCCGAGGCGTCCCGGCCCCGCCGGCCCCACGGCGCAGTTCCCGGCGCGGCGGCGGCAGGACCGCAAAGGAGGGAACGCGGCTCCCGGGGCCGGGCGGCCACCCCGCCTCATCCCCCCGTGGCCATGGCGCCGGTACCTGTCGCCGTGGCGGCTCGCCCGCTCTGTCGCTCTGCCTCAGCCGCGCGCCGCCGGCTCCTCAGCCCGCCCAGCAGGCCGCCCGCGCGCCGGACGCCGCCGCCGGAGACTGGCAGCGCCCACGAAGCGGCCCGAGTCCCCCCGGGCAGCGCCCGGCGCAGTCCCGCCCCCGCGGGCCGCAGGACCCGCCTCCCATAGGGCCCTGGGGCTGTCAGTCCGCCCCCAAAAGCCGCGCGGGCTATCGCTCCTCCCGTACCGATTGGCGGCCGAACGCCGTCCATGCAAATAAGGCCCCGCCCCCGGCCATTTGCACCTCCGCCTCGGTGTAACCTCCGCCTCCCCTACGCCAGCCCTCGTGTCTGGCCCTTGCCCTTTTGTGGGGGCTGCAGGGAAGAGAGGGAGGAAACTGACCGACGCCCCCTCACGCCATCCCTTACCTCCGGGGAAACTAATGCCCAAGCAAGCTAGTGGACTTCACACTGGGACCTCCCTCTGACAGCTCTGCCCTCCTGTCCGCCCATCCGACCTGATCCGGGGATGGAGAGGGGCAGGCCAGACTTGTTTGCGTCAGGTAAGCAAGCCCGGTTAGCCCCGGGAAACAATACCAGGGGAACTGGTATTGTCCATTTGGAACTGGGGGGAAAAATACCATCTGGAGAACCATAACACGTAGCTCTTGCCTCTGGACACTCAGGGACTGTTAAGACTAGGCTTTCCCACGGCTTTCTACCTTTCAAACAGGAAATCCCAGGTGACTGAGACAGCAAAGGACGTCTGTCTGTCTGTGTACTCTGCCACCTGCCAACGGGTAGGCCTGCTGAGCAGCTGGACTTCAGGAGGGGCTCGGGCCCCTGGAGTGAAATGGCCACACCAAGATTCAGATGAAGGGGACTGAGCTAGCAGTTCCTGGGCCTTAGGGAGTGGCTCGCTCAGTCTCCTCATTTTTGAGGAAACAGAAATCTGAAGTCCCACAGCTATGGAGCTTAATAATTACCTGTGGAAACCTAACTTCTCCTAACTCCACATCTGGTCTCAACACTGTATCACCTGGGGTCATTTAAGTATTTATGAAGAGCTTCTACAAATAACCACTGCTGCCTTCAAGAGGTGCCACCTGCAAAAGCAACCACTGGAGCTGACACTGAAACCTCCTCAGTGAGGGCAAAGGCCCTGCTTCAGTGCCTAGAAGCTTACCTTTTTACCAGATGCCAAGGGTGTCACTGAAACCGTTTATTTGTGCATTAATTCTGCATACTAACACCAATCGTTTAAGCATCTACTGTGATTTTAATGAGGCTTCTCAGGTGGCACGCTAGCAGTAAAGAACCCGCCTGCCAAGTCCCGAACTTCAAGAGTCACGGGTTCAGTCCCTGGGTTGGGAAGATTCCCCTGGAGCAGGGCATGGCAACCCATTCCAGTATTCTTGCCTGGAGAATCCCCTTGGACAGAGGAGCCTGGCAGGCCACAGTCCATAGGGTTGCAAAGAGTCAGACACAACTGAAGCGACTTAGCGTGCACCCACAAGCTTTTTAACAGCCTGGAATTAAGCACTGTGCTACCTGCACGGTATACTGAGGTGAGAGGACATTGTCCCAGACCTAACAGACAGCACCATCCACGTTGCATGTCCATGGGCCTCATGTTTCAGAGATTGTGACGAGATACCTGCATAGGGAGTGGCTCCGCATAGCCCAGTGGAGGATTCCAGGAGGGGGCAATCAGCTCTTCCTGGGGGAGGGAGTCAGGGAAGGCCTCATGGAAGAGGTGACACTAGATCTGAGTCGTACAAGAGTGTTAAGAGATGGTGTTTGCCAGACTGATGGATGTGGAAGAGGAAGAAAAGAAACTCTGGGTGGGGAGGGGAGGGTGGGACGAGAAGGGGGAGAGTGTGAGCAAGAAGAATGCAGACCTGAAAGAGCCTAGTAACTGAGGGAACAGCAGGAACAGTGTGGTCAAATCTGCTGTGCCATGTGGCCATGTCACATGGCCTGGGACCAGGCGGAGGAAGAGAGAAAGACGAGGGAGGCTGCCAGGCTGTGTTGTAACACACCGCAGCAAACAACAGGCCCTGTAGATACAGCTGCAGGCTTTTTTTTTTTTCTTCTAGGCCAGAGTCTGTGGGGGAACAGTCAGTTCAGATGGCAGCCGGGCTGGCCCCACCCTCTCTCAGAAAACCACTCTGGTCACTGCACTTGCCCTCCTCAGCACTTGGAAACACGTGTGCTTTGCAATTTCCCTGAGCTTTGCTGCCCTTCAGAATTCGAAGATAACATGGGCCCCAGCTACAAACACCGGGGTGTGGGGTGAGGAATCCTCTCCTCAGGCACAGAGCGGTTTGCAAAACCTGTCACCACAGCAGGCCTCACTGGCCTGTGACCCATGTTCCGATTAACGCTTTGCTGTCGCTGTCTTGAAATTCTTAATAAGTTTTTAACAAGGGGCCACATTTTTATTTTGCAGTTGAACAAATTGTCAGTCCCACCTGTCCCTGTCAATGCCTCTGGTCACGCTTGTGCTGCTGCTCCAGCCATATCTTACTTAAAGCACTTGGCACGGGGAACTCCCTGGTGGTCCAGCGGCTAGAACTCCACAATTTCTCTGCTCAGAGTGCAGGTTCATTCCCTGATTGGAGAACTAAGATCCCAGAAGCTTCATAGTGCAGCCAAAATAAGAAAAAACATTTGGCATTCACTTGGTTTGTTCATGTACATTGTATCGCTCATTCTCACAATGAAAATGTGAAGAAGGCTTGTGTTACTGGTCCTGTCAGTTGAGAAAACTGAAGTGTGGCAACTTTCTCCAGGTGGCATAGCTAGGAGGTGGCAGAGTTTGTGCTTGAACTCAGCCCCCCTGGGCACTATTCCATTCACGACAGTGCCACCTCCGTGTTGCTTTCAGAATCCTCTCAAAGGCAGACTTTGTAAATGAAGGATTTTGAGTCACAATATCATGGGATGAGTATGTGTCATTTCATGGATATCATCTTTTATATAGTTTTTCATCAATTTTGAAAAACTCTTAGCCATTATATGTTCAAATACTGTTTCTGTACCTTTTCCTCTTTCCTTCTGGGCTCCCAGTTGAAATATACATTAGACCTTCTCACTACATCCCTTTCTTCTGTATTTTCTATCTTTTGTCCTTAAATGCTTTATTCTAAAAATTTTCTTCTCTTTCAATTCACTAATTCTCTCTTCAGCTTTTTAAAAAGTTCTCCTCCATTGAGCTATCAAATTTGGTTATTCTATTTCTTTCTTTCTTTTTTTAGTTCTAGAATTTCTATTTGGTACTTTCTCAGATCTGCTATGTCACTTTCTCTTAGTGCCCTACTTAATTTTCAAGTTTGGCTTTTCTCTCCTTAAACATAGTAAGTATAGTAGTTTCAGGGTCTGTGCCCATGGTGATCGGCAGGGCACAATCTGGAGTCCCCATTGTCAGTTTTTCCTACTGATTCTTCTTCATGCTGTTTTATCTCCTCATGTATCTGGTTATGTTTTGGACTTTGTATTTAAAAAACCATTTGAGGCAGCAATGATATCTTCCTCCAGAAAGGATTTCTAGGGACTTCCTGGTGGTCCAGTGGCTGTGACTCTGAGGTCCTAGTGCAAGAGACCGAAGTTTGATCCCCAGTCAGGAAACTAGAGCCCACATGTCCCAACTAAAAGATTCTACATGCCACAACTAAAGACCCTGCATGCATACCTCAACTAAGACGCAGTGCAGCTAAATAAATAAAATTATTTCTAAAAGAAAGAAGGAAAAAAAAAAAAGAAAGAAGGAAAAAGAAAGGATTTCCATTTGTTTCCCCATCCTGGGGAAACACTAGCCAAGTTAGGATCCTCAACCCAATTTTGGCTTCCCAGGTGGTGCTAGTGGTAAAGAACCCGCCTGCCAATGCAGGAGACGTAAGAGAGACGGGTTCGATCCCTAGCTCAGGAAGATTCCCTTAAGGAATGGCATGGCTACCCACTCCAGTATTCTTTCCTGGGGAATCCCACGGACAGAGGAGCCTGGTGGGCTTATGATCCATAGGGTAGCAAAGAGTCAGACACGACTGAAGCAACTTAGCATGCATGCAACCCAATTTCAGGGCTTTTGATTTTGAGCCTCTCTGATAACTTGAAGAGTCTGTGGGAGGGTTTGTTCATTTATGGCTCCCCCTTAGTCAGTGCTTACAATTCTCTGAGGTCCCAGTCAAAAATGGGGAGGATTTTTTTTTTAGTTATATACTGTTTCATAGCAAACTGTCCCCAAATTTAGCAGTTTGAAACAGATGTCAGCAGAATTTTTTTCTTAAAGGTCCAGATGGTTAATATTTTAGGCTTGCAGGCCATATGGCCTCTGTCATAACTACTCAACTCTGTCATTATAGTAGGAAACACCCATAGACAGTGCATAAATGAATGGCCTGACTATATAATAATAAACCTTTATTTGTAAAGACAGGCAGCCATCCTCAACCTGATAGAGTATCTCACAATATCTCATAAAAAAGGTCACAACTTGGTAATATTGTACCTAATACTGAAAAACTGGATAACAAGTCCAGAAAACAAGACAAGGAACAAAACAGGATGTCCACTCTTGCCACTTCTATTTACTATTGCTTTGGAGGTCCTAGCCAGAGCAGTTAGTCAAGAAATAGAAATTAAAAGGGACCCACAGTTTGGCCACTATGAAAAACAATGTGGAGGTTCCTCAAAAACAAAACAAAACAAAAAAGACGAAGTACCGTATGATCCTGCAGTTCTACTCCTGGGTATATAGCTTGAGAAAATGAAAACACTAATTCTAAAAGATACACACCCCAATGATCACAGTAGCATTATTTACAATATCCAACATGTGGAAGCAACCTGTGTCCATCAACAGGTCAGTGGATAAAGAAAATCTGACACACACACACACATAAAATGAAATATTCCCTTGTGGCTCAGCTGGTAAAGAAGCTGCCCGCAATGTGGGAAACCTGGGTTCGATCCCTGGGTTGGGAAGATCCCCTGGAGAAGGGAAAGGCTACCCATTCCAGTATTCTAGCCTGGAGAATTCCATGGATTGTATAGTCCAGGAGGTCGCAAAGAGTTGGACACGACTGAACAACTTTCACTTCTACTTCTACATGGGATATCACTCAACCATAAAAAAGAAGGAAATTCTGCCATTTGTAACAATGTGCATGGACCTAGAATTTATCATGCTTAGTGGAGTAAGTCAGATGGAAAAAGACAAATTCTCTATGTTATCATTTATATGTGGAATCTAAAAAAATAAAACACACAAATGTATATCACAAAACAGAAACAGACTTAGAGATATAGAGCACAAACTAGTGGTTAAGCTTGAGGAGAGGGAAGGGGAAGTAGCAAAATAGGGGTATGGGATTAAGGTGCAAACTATTATGTATAAAACACAGAAGTAGGGCTTCCGTGGTGGCTCAGTGGTAAAGAATCCACCTGCCAATGCAGGAAACAGGGGTTCGATCCCTGGTCCAGAAAGATCCCACATGCCGCCAGTCAACTAAGCCCATGTGCCACAGCCACTGAAGCCCGCGCATCCTGGAGCCCGTGCTCT